TCTCCTGAATACAAGTGATTCTCCTGCCTCAGCCTCCCCAATAGCTGGAATTACAGGCACATGCCACCAAGCCCGGCTAATTTTTGTATATTTAGTTAGAGATGAGGTTTCACCATTTTGGCCAGGCTGGTCTTGAACTCCTGACCTCAAGTGATCCACCTGCCTCTGCCTCCCAAATTGCTGTGATTACAGGTGTGAGCCACCACACCTGGCTGACTACAAAAAATTTAAAGTAAATTTTGTTTTGGACACTCTTTAACTCCTTTATAATCCATGGAATTCACTCTGTCTTGGGAGGCAATTCAGATGGTACCAACTATTAGCAAACATTTACACTTCTTCAGTCCTTTGTGATAACGAGGAGTTGAATGTCACAAGAACAGCAGAGGAAGAAATATGAACTAACTTTTGAGCCTACTTCTAGGAACCTATCCTAAGATACAAATTCTAAACATGAAAAAAAATGTTATGCACAAACTATTCACTCAATCTTTATTATAATAAAACAAATGAAAACTGATAATTTTCTAATCATAGAGGAATGATAAGTAAATGACAGCACATGTACTTAATGAATGTTTTGGTGTTTTTAAATAATTATTTATGAAGCAGTAACCAGAAAAGGTATTTGATGTAATGCTCACTGAATTTAAAAGATTCAAAATTTTAACTGCTTCCTAAACATCCCTCCTCCACACCTTTTTCTTTCCTTTTTTTTTTTTTTTGAGTCAGGTTCTGGCTCCATCTCCCAGGCTATAGTACAGTGGTGTGATCTTGGCTCACTGCAACCCCTGCCTCCTGAGCTGAAACCCCTCCCACTTTAGCCTCCAGAGTAGCTGGAACCACGGGCATGCACCATCACACCCAGCTAATTTTTGTATTTTTGGTAGAGATGGTTTCACCATGTTGTCCAGGCTGGTCTCAAACTCCTGGGCTCCAGCAACCCTCCCTCCTTGACCTCCCAAAGTGCTGGGATTACAGGTGTGAGTCACTGCGACCGGCCAACATCACATTTTTTCACCAAAGCATAACAGAATTTTAACAACAGTTTAAAAATGAGCATCCATTACTCTCTTTGTTCTGACTTAAAAAATTTTTATCACAAAAATGTTGAAAGATAAAGAAAAGTTATAAAGACAGTTTAATAAAAATTACTTCTAATTACATTCTTTATGGGAATAAGCATAGAAAAAGTACAGAATAATCCGATTTTGGTTCACGTGATTTTAGGCATATATATAACTGATTTATAAGGTTTTAAATGTTTTGTAACCTACTTTGTTAACTTCCTTCTTTCTTTCAGCTTTTATTTTTATACAGTTTTAGACTTGCGGAAATTTGTCAGAAGAGTACAAAGAATTCTTACACACCCCTCATCCATATTTCCCAAATCTTAACATCTTACCACATTTGGACATTTGGGAAATCTTATTCCTCTCCTCTCTCTCTCTCTTTCTTTTTTTTTTTTTCTCTCTCTCTCTCTTTCTCTCTCTCTCTTCCTACACACATACATTTATTTCCTAAACTTCGAGAACTAGTTGCAGACATAATGACTCTCTTATCCATATGTACGGAGAACACTTTCTTTTTTTTTTCTTTTGAGACAGAGTCTCACTCTGTCACCAGGCTGGAGAGCAGTGGCGTGATCTCGGCTCACTGCAACCTCTGCCTCCCGGGTTCAAGTGATTCTCCTGCCTCAACCTCCTGAGTAGCTGGGGCTACAGGTGCACGCCACCATGCCCAGCTAATTTTTTTCTTTCTTTCTTTCTTTTTTTTTTTGTTTTTGTTTTTGTTTTTAGTAGAGACAGTTTCACCATGTTGGCTAAGACGGTCTCGATCTCTTGACCTTGTGATCCGCCCACCTCAGCCTAACCAAAGTGCTGGGATTACAACCAAAGTGCAATTATCAAAATCAAGAAATTAATAGATAAAATATTTTTCCCTTATTGCTCATGGAATAATTTTTATGTTGTAGTAAAAAATCTAATATTTCCTTATAAAAATATACTGTATTTAAATATATAAATATCTATAGTAGTGAAATTTCCACTGGAAACATTTTAAGTGTGCAATTCAGGGACATAAAGTGCATTTACATTATTGTGCAATCATCAGTACTATCTATCTCCACGATTTTTTCATCCTCCCAAACTGAAACTCTGTAGTCATTAAACAACAGCTCACCAATCCTACCTCCCCCTGTCTCTGGTAACCACTGTTCCACTTCCTGTCTTTATGCTTCTGACTATTCTAGGTACCTCAAATAAACGGAATCATACAATATTTGTTCTTCTGTGTCTGATTTATTTCCCTTCACATGTTTTCAAGGTTCATCCATATGGCATGTGTCAGCATTCCTTATTAGAAATGAGGAACCTCCAACTATGTTTTTTGCAAGATTAATTTATTTGGGGTCCCTTGAGATTCCAAATTAATTTTAGGATAGCTTTTTTCATTTCTGCATAAGAAAATCATTGAGATTTGATAGAGATTGCATTAAATCTGTAGATTGCTTTGAGTAGTATTGACATCTTAACAATGTTGTCTTCCAATTCATTAACATAGGTTATGCTTTCCATTTATTCTTTAATTTCTTTCAATATTTTGTAATTTTCAGAGTATAACAAACCAGGGTTTTTTTTAACTTGACATATAGTAAGCATTTTCCATACCCTTAAATAAATTCTTTGACAACACGAATTTTGGTAGCTTCATAGCATCTCGTCAAACAGGTGTTCCATGATTTATTTAATCAATGCCCTATTCTGGACATTTTATTTGTATCCAATTTTCTATATTATAAACACTATTCTGACAAAATATCACTGTGCATAATCTTTGTATGCACCTTTATTTCCTTTAGACAAATTCCTAGAAATGGAAATATTAGATCACAGGTGTGAGAATTAGGAGTTTTTAAATATACATCAACAGTGCTACTTTTTTTTTCTTTTCTTTTTTGAGACAGAGTCTCACTCTGTCGCCAGGCTGGAGTGCAGTGGCGCGATCTCCGCTCACTATAACCTCCGCCTCCCGGGTTCAAGCAATTCTCCTGCCTCAGCCTCCCAAGTAGCTGGGACTACAGGTGTGCGCCATCACACCCAGCTAATTTTTGTATTTTTAGTAGAGACTGGGTTTCACCATGTTGGCCAGGATGGTTTGGATCTCTTGACCTTGTGATCCGCCCACCTTGGCCTCCCAAAGTGCTGGAATTACAGGCGTGAGCCACCACGCCTGGCCAACAGTGCTACTTTTTATACAAAACTATGGCTTAAAATCTTTTCTTCTTTCTACTGATTTATAGTTTCTAATGTTCCACAAAAGTTATAATTTTTAAAAGAGAAAGATGTAAATGAGGCTTATTAAGCTTTACAGATCATATAAAATTTGTCCCAAGAAAACTGCTTTTTAATATTAGACTTGGATAGCAAGAATCTAAGGAATGAGATTGGGTGCACCAAAGTTATTGTAAATCAGTGGATCTCAATGGGGGATACAGGTGGATTTGCTTCCCAGGAAACCTTTGGCAATGTCTGCAGTCAGTTCTGCTTGTCACAACGGGAAAGTAATGTTACTGGTACCCAGCTGGTAGAGGCCAGGATGCTGCTAATTGTCCTGCAAAGCACAGGACAGACTCCCCATCCAGCAGATAATTTTTGGCCCCAAAAGTCAAAATAGTGCCGTGGTGGAGAAACCCTGCTGTGAAGAGAATGGAGGCCAGGTGCAGTGGCTCATGCCTGTGATCCTAGCACTTTGGGAGGCCGAGGCGGGCAGATCACCTGAGGTCAGGCGTTCAAGACCAGCCTGGCCAACATGGTGAAACCC